TGCAGGGAACAGTGACGCAGGAAATCAGCGGGAACGAGCCCAAACAAACAGAGGAACCAGCAAACGGACGGCGTGCAGAGGACCCGGGCCACGGCTGGGTGGAGCTGGCAGGAAGCTCTGTGTGCATCTGTCTGTGAGATACCTTCAGAACTGGACAGCAGCCGCGTCAGCAGGACAACAAGCAGGCCTCCCTCCGCCACAGTGATTAGTAATGACGCCGCCCCAGCAAGCGACAGGAAAAAGGTAGAAATAACAGTTATAAAGCCACAGTGGGCCTGATTCATACCTGCAATGAAATCATTTTCTATCTTTCCGTATCCTCAAAGCAAATGGTTAGACGGGTCGGTTACATGAAATCATTCTGATTAAATGAAAAGCCGAGTGCATTATGATAAGGTGGTAGAAAATAAAGGACATGGTATAGTATCTCAAGACATTTAACAAATATATATCTGAAAGTTTCATTTGCAAATGTATTTATAACCCCTTTTATCAGACTCATAAAATAAATCATTTTAGGTGAGCCAAGGACAGGGGAAAAACTCATCAAGTTTAGAACCCCTAACACCCACTTTTTTATAGCTTGTTCACAGATGATTTCATACCTAAATGCCATTGGCCAGAAAAATAATACTATATAAAATAAATCGCACATTCTTGTGATGTGTCTCATTTGAAAGCCAAGACCTTCTTATTTCTGCAAATATGTGTACAAAAACCCTTTCTTCTCCTTGAAAAAAAACAAAACAAAACATTTTTTATGTTAAAACTTTTGAATAATTTATACCGTAGTTTAACTCTCCCATTTACTAAACTTGTTCTTCATATTCTGGACAACAACTGTGTAAATTTTCAGATCTCTAGTCATAAGCATTATGAAACAATAGCCTCATTTACAATACCCTCTGAAAACCGATCCATGCAGAGCTCGGTTCCTGACGACCAAATATGCACCTCGCTAGCACGGTTCCTCGCCTCCTAGTGATGATCTACGGTAGTTTTATTTTATTTATTTTGTTTAACCTTTATTTTACCAGGAAGTCCCTTGAGATAAAATCTCTTTTTCGAGATTTTATCGGTACTACTCCTCTCTAGAGGCAAACAAGCAAACCATGATAGTGGATAATATTCAGGAAATTATGTTTTGTTATCATTTTTATATTTCGGTTTTTTTCAGAGAGTCAGGCGAAGAACGCAGGCTTTGGTGAATTTACTTGACAGAATCGGCTTTTGGTAATTGATACGACAGACGATAGTCTGATCAGGGCAAAGAGACATAGGAAACAATGACAGGCGTTGAGGTTCATCACACTGCTAAGCAGAATCATCACTGGAAATCGTGTGGCGTGGTAGGTAGTTTTTACAAATGTTTAAATCTTCGTTATTATAGAGGCTGACTGTAAGGAGATGATGCGGTCTGCTCAGGTGCTCTTTGTTATCTGAGAACTGAGCCAGAACTGAACCAACCGGAGCCCTGCTGATGAACTAGTACCAGTTTAGCATGGCTGGGTTGAGTCTGCTACGGTCCAGTTCAGTTGTCCGTACCATTTACACTGAACGGTTATCTTGGTTACCGTGCTCTGACCGATCTAGGCATGGTTTCAAAATGCTTTTGATCCTTTTTGTATGTAAAAGATCCATTCGGCACAATTGTAACAAATTTGGACCAAATGTTCCAAACTGATTTATTTGAATTTTATGACTAATTTGACCATAAAAAAATAAATCTATGTTTAGATTTACATAAATTTTCATTCAAGCACCTTTTTTTTTTTTTATTTTTTTTACAATCTTTCTAATTCAGAAGCATGAAAGTCAAATTTGTGTGTAACCGCTAGGTTCTCCTCTCTCTTCCCGCAGGTAAATAAACCCTATATTTTTTAGACCACCCCACACTTCGAATATATCAACGCTAAGATTATTGGCTAACAAAATATGTCAATCAAAAGTCGATTAGTCACTATATTGTCGAGCGCCAGCTGAATAAAACTATGTGACACATGCGCATGGGGAGGGCCTTTTTTTAAATGCAGGAATTTTCCATACTAATGTGGATATTCAAAATGAAAGTTACATTCAATGTAAGGAGTAAATAGGTAAATGAATATGTCCACGCAACGTAGATGATCTAAAATGGTGGACTGGTATCATTACAGGGATGGATTATATGTTTTCATCCTTATGTTATTAACTTTTATATGGCAAAAAAAAAACAACCTTTGGTGGATTATTAGGACACTTAAGCTTGTTTTTTGGGAAATACAACTGGATATTATTTTTCTGCAGACAAATGAGCCTATTTTTGTCATTGACGGTTGTGTTTCGGATTGCCAGAACAGGATAAACAAGTTAGGATCTGAAAAATATAAATTCCCCGTTGATGACAAATAATTAGTTATTGGTTTTTGTAGTGTATTGTTGACTTACATTTGAGTCGAGGGTCGCATTCCTTAGGAGTCTAAAGAGGTATAATAAGCTGGCTTTTACTTTGATATTAGCGTGATATTGTATACGGAACAAAATGTGACGTAAAAACATACCAATATCAGGCGGTGGAAGCTAAGGTGCCTCAGAGTTGAGATCTTGGACATTGGTGAGGTCACTTTTACAAATAGCTTCGTCTGTAATATTACCGTGGATGTTTAGGGGAAATCAAATAGACAAACATCTAAAAAAAAAAAAAAAATTGAGACCCCCCCCCAACAGATCAATCTGAAGAAATAAGAGACAAAACTTCATGATATGCATCTGAGGTGGTCACAATTTGATTTTAAACAGGTTTCTTCGGGGTTCAAACAGGAAGCAGGCTCCATTTACACGCCTTTCACAGGGATATAAATACCAGTTACCATCCAACACCCGCCAGTTAACACCAATAAACATCAAAGCCTGAATAGTAAGCCCACCCAGCCACTCTGTGAAAGCAGATCTACTCACTTTTATTAGAAAGCTGGGCTGCAAACAGCTAAGAATAACCTGAAGGAAAGCTGCTTTAAAAGCAAGCAGCTCTGAGGCTCAGCTGGTCTCCTTCCTCTCAATCTGTGATTCAGAGATCTTCCAAATGTCCTCAGGGGGGGTTTAACTCCATAAAACAAGCCTTAAAGTGGCCTGTGTGTTATTCCAAAAGGGGGGGTGTAAGAAGCAATAATCTGACATGAAGGTTAAACCAGCTGAAGCCTCTCTGTCATTTCACTATCTCATTTAAAGGCAGATATTTTGGATTTATTTTCTGACATCCTCTGTGATGCTCAAACTTACTCTGCTATGGATAAGCCTTGTAAGGAGGAATGGGACAAATTTCAAGTGAAACCTTTCATTAAAAGGGTTAACCAACAGTACGTGTATGATTCGTTTCTATGGAACTTCAGCTTTAAAGCAAATATTTCTTTCCTCCTTCAAGCCAAGCGTTATGTGTGGGTTTGCAACACGATGGAAAGTGTTTACGTTTTTCCGCTGTCACACAGCACTGAAACTGAGCAAAGAGGGTTTTCTTACCTGCTCATAAACTAGAGAAGAATTTGCTTCATATGTCTGCAAACACTTTCAATAGGGAGGAGAACAGGCAAACGGTTCCCCTTTGATTTCTCCGTAATCAATTCTTGTAATGGTCTTTATTAATATTTGTTTAGATATTAGAGCAAAATTTTGGATATACCCACAGATATACCCTCTTTAGTATGTACTTTTTTGTTTTATTCTTAACAATTTTAAACTTAATTAACTCAGTCTTGTCTCTATAGCATGATTTGATTATTGATTTGTATCTTAGTCCTTCACACACATTTATAGGAAATCTAGGCCTTAGGAAAAATGTAAAATATGTCTCATTGCTCAGGTCAGTTATTGAGAAAATTACTTTTAAAGACAGACCAGGTGTTTAATCTGCTCTAAATAGTTTAAGAGCAGCATCTGATTTAATTTGAGATGTATTTTACAGATGTCTAAACATTTTGGGGTGTTAATGTTAATTATTTCAGCATATACATATGTAATCCATATAGGGAGGAAGTGGTTTGATGTCGCTCTACAGCCATCTTTAGGTGAGTGGAGAGGTGAATCTAATCCCCAGAAAGGCCTCAGGTCAGGATTTGAACCAAGAACTAATAACTAATAGCAAATAGAAATACTTTTTTTTTTTAGAGGTCAATGTCAGGATGAAGAAAGATGCCTCTGTTCAATTCTATATATAATCTTCAGGAAGTTAAAATCCTTCATCTGATCCAAAATGCTGCAGCAACAGTTTTGATGAAAATTAGAAAAAGAGATGATATCTCTCCTATCCTAACTTCTATTTATTGGCTTCTTGTTAAATCCAGAATAGAATTTAAAATCCTGCTTCTCACATATAAAGCCTTGTATGGTCAAACTCTGATTGTTCCTTAATTTCCTAACAGCGCACCTCAATCTCAATCTGCAGCTTTACTAGTGGTTCCTTTCTGAAAAAACAGAGTGGGAGGCAGATCTTTTAGCTTTCAGTCTCCTCTCCTTTGGAACCAACAACCAGCTCTAGTCTGTGTGGCAGACATCCTGTCTACTTTTAAGAAGAGGCTTAAAAACTTTCCTTTTTGATCAAGTTTGAAGTTAGAGTGGCTCAGGTTATCCTGAGCTATCTCTATAGTTATGCTGCTATAGGCTTAGACTGCTGGAGGACATGGGACCCACCTTTCATCATTCTGCTTCATTCAGATTGCTGTAATAAGCTGGTTTTCCTTGGATAGAAAACCTTGAACCAACCTGACTGCATATTCTGGTGCATATTCTGATTTGAATTGTATGTATTAATAACTTGTTTAAACCTAAATATCTCTTTGTGTCATTATAACTGACAATAAAGTATGAGAAAATGTCAGATGATTTCCAAAAAAGCTTGGATACGCTAAATATTCTTAACATATATGACAGATGTTGAAGGTAAGGATTCAAACATCCAGCTTTGTAGGAAGAAAACGTCCCTAAATGCAGCTCAGTGACTGACGTAGAGAATGTATTCAGAACTTCACCTGTTTTTTGATGACGGTGATGATGATGATGATGACGATGGTGGCGAAGGTGGTGCTGGGAGGAGATATGGACGTGTTGGGCCAGTACATCAGCCAGCCTGCCAGCGGCCGCCCCGCTTCCTCCGCTACGAGTAGAAGAGGAGGATGAGGAGGCGTTGGACGAGGTGGTGGTGGTGGAGGATGTGCCGTGGACCGCCCTGCTGATCCAGTGCTCCATGCTGATGCTACCCTCTCTGCTGGATGAAGTTCCTCCTCCCCCTCCGCCATCCTCTTCTTCTCCGTCTCCTCCTACTTCCTCGTCGCCATCGCCCTGACCCTCCCCCTCAGATCCAGAGGAAGTGTCTGAAAAAGAGAACCAGGAAGACGGGTGATCAGAGAAGAAAGGCTCAACACAGACAGCATGACAGCCATTAAAAGATAATTTTATAAATAATATTAACGTTTCTTAACATACAATTTAATAGTTTTTAGGTTAAGTTGTTTCATATGTCGAATTAACTCTGATTTATCCACTGAGTTCAGGTTAAAAACATAAAAAGTTCTGAGTTAAATGGCACAGAAAAACTTAAAAAGTGCATTTTAATCAAAGAGTTTAAATCTCTATAATTTTTTGTGGTTGAAATGAAATAAAATAAAATAAAAAGTTTTACCATGAAATGACAAAGGAGCAACCTGATTTTGCATCTAAATCTTTAAACAATCCAACACAGCTACTTTCAGGAACACATCAGCTTCTTCCTTATGGCCAGATAAGCTTAGCTTTTTATCATGTTAAACTAACGTAGGACTTTTATCGTTTAAAAAGAAAAATCTCTGACATAAATCTGAAGTTAATAACGGAGAAAGTAATAAGTTACAACACAAACAGAAACTACTGGCCCTCAAACAAAAACTTTTAATCTCATTGAAGAGATGCTTGGATTAGGATTGCTAGAAACATCCTGGTAAGACGATGGGACTCAAGGTGACATGAGAGGTTCACTACAACCTCCTGCACCATGTTCAGAGCAAACATTTAGACCTTAATGTAACAGAAGGAAAATTAGTATTCAAGAATAGAAGGTCTGGATTCTGGTATAAATTTATAGAAAACAATCCTGTTGCAGTGTGAGAGAGTAGATGGGAAATGGCGACATTTTATATTGGTTTTTCTCCTTTTTTCCCTAATTTTCACAATGTATGTTCAAACTGGAAATAGTGACAAGAAAATTGTGATAAAAAAAGATATTTAATATTTCTCAGGGTCCAAGCCTGCAGCGAGGGACACCATCAGACTCTGGGTTTAAAGTTCTGATATGCAGAAAATAAAAGACAATTTGTGGGTTTGACCAGTACTATGAGAGAAAAAATGGAAAAATGAAGAACAGGAGGTGTGAATTCTGGTGCATTTCAGCAGGGCTGCAACAAACGATTATATTGCAAATCGATAAATCAGTCGATTATTTTATCAATTAATAATCAGATAGCCAAAGGTTCCAGTTAACGATTAAACGATTACTAAATTAGTTGACGATTATTTTAATCAAGATTAATCCGATGAATTGTTTCAGCCCTACTTTTTAGCTTCCTTTAAAGAACGTTGACTAATAAAGAAACTTGAAAATAATAATAAAAAGGAAAAAAATAAGACCACCTTAAAAAAATATACACTCACCGGCCACTTTATTAGGTACACCTGTCCAACTGCTCATTAACACTTAATTTCTAAGCAGCCAATCACATGGC